ACGATAATTCACGGTCAGATACTTCTATAGTATCATTAACACCTGAGAGGAGATATTAGCACGGAAATATTTCGTCAACGCATCACTTTTGACGGTGAATTTGTCCGCCATGTTTACTTAACATTTTACCAGACGTTTAATACAATAACCAGTAAATTCTGGAGACATGGCCTTGCTGCCGTTGCAACGCGTTATGACGATGTCGTCGATGTTGCGTAAGCGTTAGGCATCTCATTCAATCGAGTTTTCTAAGTGTTACATCTGAGTCACCCTCTCGCTGTGATTTATCGCGGCCAAGCTTTTTGCAAATATCGGAAAAGATGCCGCGTATCATCGAGTTCTGACGTGTCACTTACAGTGTTTCAAATTTATCATCTTCTACCAACGATCTAATCCACCGTAAGCACTTTTAGAAACTCATTAGGAAGTTTTTTCCGATAAGAGTCTTCCGTGGATAATTACGAAGGAATTTTTAAACGAGATCGTATCTCGATGAAAATTCTGCATTAGAACTTAACCTAACATAACCTAGAAACTGAAGTGTTTATTATGAATTTTTCGTGTGTAATATTTCATAAACGAAATTTCTAAACGCGACGAAATCTCAATGAAAATTCTCCATTAGAACCTAACCTAGAAACTCAAATGTTTATTATGAATTTTTCGTGTGTAATATTGCATAAAGAATATTTCTAGTGACGTAATATTCGATATTTGGTTAGAAATGAAAAGATTTGCAATTCGTATGGATGCAGCTTTATCAGAGTGAAACACAGAAAACAGAGAAGAAGGAGATTTCTCGTTCTCGTGATGCATTAAAGGCCAGAAGGCTGACGATCTTACGCGTATACCTCGTACCAAACGAATCGTGAAGCTGCGCGCCTTTCGCTTCCGGTTCACCGATCTCTCCACATTCGTTAGGCCGCGTTCTCTGTTCCCCCCGACATTTATGTGACCACTTTCGCTCGGTCCACGAGTCTTTCGACTCGCTACGCCGTGTCGAATTCATCTTTCCGATTAATAACGACCTCGTACCATGAATCTTCGATAATCCATATATTTACCTTGTTCCAGATCCAGGTATTTCCACGGGAACGACGTGATTTAAGAACGAAAGAGAAAGGTTACTTATCGGTGACTAAAGATTTAAGGCGCCTTTCACAATTGACAAATGGTCAAAATATCCATTTTCTACGTTTCGCATTTTACGATAAAATAGTATTTCGAGAATATTCCCTGCGAACGTTATATCGAAATCTCGAAGCTAAGGGTTCTACGATATGAGAGAAGAACGTTTTTTCCAACTAACGTATCTTAATGCTTTCCCGCCAAATTGTGCCTCACCCACAATGGTGGCCATATTACGAAAATCCTACGAACTCTTAGTACCCATGTATACGAACACGTTAAATATCTATAATATTCATTAAAGCTAATGCAGCAATTCCTGTAATGAAGCCTGGGCAATTTAGAATCATTTGGACAATCAGTTTATGCAGGAACTCATGTTAGCCGGCTAACAATAAACAACTCGTATGCGGATCTCGCACGGATGAATGCATCGTGTCCGGTGCACGTCCTTGTACATTCACGAAGCTTTTCATTTCGCGGTGTTCCACGAAAAAATGCATACACAAAGAGGAAAACAGCCGTTTTTCAACGAGCCTCCTGTTTTATCGCATAAAAAACGCGTACAAAACATTTCTTACGACATATCGAGTATGCGTCTAACGCTCGTTCAAGGTGCGCCGTTAAAAAGTCACGTAAGGAAGAAAGAGAAATTCAACGATTCACTTACAGAAGATGTTTTCGTAGGAAATTCTGCATCCGAACGATCCCCATGGTCGTCCAGGCTTCGCACTCGCTCTTTCACTCACTTTTTTACAACATTCACCATTTATTACTTGAAAAAATAGTACAATTGCAACTGTCACTGAACAATTTGAAAATTCCGTTACAATGTGGGCGGCAAGACTGTTCGATCGTTTAGTACATAGAGCGCGCAATGCATGATTGATGGCGTATCCGTATCGATAATTCAGTTTTCGGGAATGTCAATGGAAATTGCCTTGTTCCTGGAAGAAATGTATCTAAAGAACGGAGAAATATCGATAAATACGAAAGTACGAGATGTTCCATGCGGAAATAGAGAATTTTCTTTGAAACAACTATGGAAGCAGTGAAATTGTCGTGCAAGTTTGCTCTTTGTTTAAAGAGGAAATTATGGGAGAATTTGCCATGTGAAACAAGTGTCGACTTTTTTTCTTGGTCGATTACCACCGTGTACCGATGGTAAATTCCCGATGGCGCCACGAAATTCCATGAACCCGAGCCAGATGCCAGTAGAGTCTGACTCTGTCCGTGCTGCTCTCTACAGGAGATCTCACTAACATTGTAAGAAGATTCTTCTTATCGCTATTTTATTACTTTAACGATACATATTTTTTGAAATGTTGCGCGTTAGATTTTACTGATAATCATAATGTAAACCAACACCACAATATCTAGGGAACAAAGTGTATCGAGTGGCTCTTCGACTTTAACCAAACTTAATCTCCCAATTACGAGCAATTTAGCAACGAACGAGTGTAGGATTATTAGCCTAAACACCTAGTTGTCATTAGAAAGAAATGCAACGAAACTATCGATCCTCAACCGGACAGAAATTCATTTGTACTCGTTAAATGTGAAATAAAGATGATCGAATATGGTTTTTACACTTATAACCCATTGAAAAAGTTCCGTTTAAAAATACCAAATCAATTCTAGCTGAGTACACGCGTTTAAAGGGGATATACGATACACATGGTAGACGGCAGTAGCGTGACAGTTGTACGACACATAACTAAGAATTTCCAATTATCATCTATAATGACAGACCCGGTATAATGAAAATCAGATCGATCAGTTCACCGAACGTTTGAATTAATAGTACCAACTTATCGTCACATACGTAATCGATGCATGCTACCTACCACTTTTTAATCTCCTTTAATAACCTATAAAATATTTTTTCTCTCGGTAAAATACCTGTTTCCCGTCAACTAAATAATTATTTATGACACAAAATTTGCATTTGTTATATAATATGCAAGTATATGTCCATGTTTTATCCTCTGTTCAATCTTGATTTCTCCATATTCCTTTTCTATTCCATAAATATATTTGATTTTCTTTCTTTTTTTCATTTCTTTGAATTTTCTAACCTATAATACCACGAACGACAAAGGTATAATTACAGGAGACAGGTAATACGTAGATTAAGCTTCGATTAATTCATTTCGTCTAATCTGATGGTCGAACAAGGTGTTCTTATGATACTTGTGTAATTACACGATGTTTATTACGATCTATTTCCACACGGTGATTACTAATGTGTAACTACTTGTCCCTGTCATAAGTAACCGAAGAAATAATTATACAGACAACTTTTCACATCCTTCCGGACGATTTGATCCGTAATAATCCTAACCTCGCAGCGATCAACAGGAGAAGGGACACTGGTAAAGCGATGAATAATTATTATTTTATAAAACTTTCAATAAAAGAAAAAACATCATTGAGAAAAAATTGTTTGTTGATTACATCGAAGGTAGTAATCGAGAGATTTCGAGGAGATCTTTCCAGAATGGAATATTTCTTAAGAACACGAACTTTTACATACAAACGATCGAAAATATTATTCGGTAAGTATTATCGACGTCGAAAATATTCTTAGTCACAGATAACCTACAATCTATACCGTAGATTTTACCGATATTAATCTACGAACATCAGCTCGTCGTAAAATCATACTTTTCTCTAGTCTCTGTTCGAGATACAATTACGAAGTGTAGGAAGAGGAGAAAACGACGCGTTTTCGCGATTTTTACGCAAGTAACTGGGGAGAACACATAATCCCATCTTGTTCGTCGCAACGGTGATAATTCCAACGGCAATATTTCGAACAGTTCTCTAATTGTACTCTCAATTTGCAAGTCAAACAGCCGGAAGAGTACTATATTTACGAAGGCATGAGAAAACAGCTTCGATGACGTCACTGTTTAAAGGTCTGTCGTGCTCTTCTGGCGCTATTCGGTACTGTTTTATTTCTGCTTGGGTAGATCGGGAGAAGGCGAGAGGAAGAGAGATTAAATCGAGAGGAGAGGAACAGACAACGCGAACACCGGAAAGAAATAGATCGAAATCGCTTGATTTTCTCCGCTGGATCATCGCCAGTTATCAAAACCACATACATTCGACTTTTTTATCCCCGTTTTTAAGGGAGTATTCGCTCGAAAAAAGGACAGAAAATGTAACGATGTGAAATTGTCAGCGAAGTATCAATAAACCAATGTACGAAATGAAAATTATGTACATCTTTTAATACGTATGCAAAAAATTCATAAAAATTACCCATTATGTATCGAACCTCTTTAATATCGAAAATCGAAAAAATGCCAAACATCGCCGATCGAAAAACGACGATCGTCACTTGGAAACTGGGTTGTTTAACATTTACCAATCGAACGAAATATGGTATAATTGGAAAGCTAGTCGGAAAATGTCAGCTCTCGAAAATTATACAGAATCTTGTCTACTTTAAATTACTTTCAAACAACATTGCTACTTAACGCTGAAAAAAGTAAAATTCTGCTTCTTTTATCATACAAAAAAGTTGTAAATTCCCCTAACTGTTAAAATTTCCTAAGTGAACGTTGATTCCAGGAGGATCCCACTTTTTCCAAATATAAATGTATAATCTGTGAGTATTCTGTTCAAGCTAATTTATCTCTAGGGACAATAGAAAATTACTAGGGGCAATAAATATTAAAAATTGAAATTTTCAACTAAAATGATTATCGTTTCAAATGTAATCGTGAATTTCCATAACTTATCGAACGAGGATGTGAAAAATAAACTCAACGTGGACCACTGTGTTTCCCATGTTAGTTGTTCTAGGGTTAATTTCTGCGTGCTTAAAATTGATTAAACGATAATTACTAGAACCAAGCGTTACAATGCCTGTGAGAAAATCGCAAAAAATCGAGGCCCAAGTGGTGGAGGCCATCCGCAAGCTACAGGCTGTTCAAGGATCCACTCCACGAGAAATTAGCAACTACATTGCCCAGGAGTACGATATCGCTGACTCGGAAATTAGGCGGCACGTTCAACTTGCCCTGAAGCGTGGCTTGGTTTATGGGATTCTTCAACGTTTGAAGGGGCAAGTGTTGAAAAACTAAATATTCTCAAGTTTCGTTCATTATGTCATCGTAAATAACGTTTCCTTATACTGTCCTGAAAAGAATTTCGCAATTTGACCGAGGAGAGACCAAAAGGGAATTTTGAGGGGATTTATTAGAATTTTTATTAGTAATACTTTTTGCACGTGATTCTGTATTTTCAACCCTTCTTCTTCTTCCTTTATGTGTAGAAAGAGGCAAAGATATTCAAATTTTTGCACAGGACTCTTCATGGCAAAAAATTACAAAAATATATTTTTCAACTTTTCCTTGACACTAATTTTCCATTTATTTTAGCAGAGAAATGGGACTTCTTGTTCTTCTCTTATGTGTAGGAAAAGGCAAACATTAAAATTTTTGCACAGGACTCTTCATGGCGAAAAATTACAAAAATATATTTTTCAACTTTTCCTTGATACTAATTTTTCATTTATTTTAACAGAGAAATGGGACTTCTTCTTCTTCCCTTATGTGTAGAAAGAGGCAAAGATATTCAAATTTTTGCACAGGACTCTTCATGGCAAAAAATTACAAAAATATATTTTTCAACTTTTCCTTGATACTAATTTTTCATTTATTTTAACAGAGAAATGGGACTTCTTCTTCTTCCCTTATGTGTAGAAAGAGGCAAAGATATTCAAATTTTTGCACAGGACTCTTCATGGCAAAAAATTACAAAAATATATTTTTCAACTTTTCCTTGACACTAATTTTCCATTTATTTTAGCAGAGAAATGGGACTTCTTCTTCTTCTCTTATGTGTAGGAAAAGGCAAACATTAAAATTTTTGCACATGACTCTTCATGGCAAAAAATTACAAAAATATATTTTTCAACTTTTCCTTGACACTAATTTTCCATTTATTTTTCTAGAGAAATTGGTCTTCTTCATCTCCCCTTACACGCAGGAAGATTTACAAATTTTCACGATACTGCAGTATTAAAAAGAAGCTTCCTCTAACAGTGTCTTTCCTTTCCAGAGGATGCTACACGTACAACCGAGACATCTTCAATTGCGTAAACTCCGGGGACGCGGTGGAGATCCCCTATGGGCGCCGAAAGAGAAGAAGAAGAGGATCCTCGAGAAGAAGAAGAAGAAGAAGAGGAAGATCAGGGAGGAGACGCAGGGGTCGTCGTAGATCGGGTAGGCGCAAATCACGGAAGAGAAGATCGAGGAGGAGGCGATCGAGGGGTCGAAGACGAAGCAAACGTAGGAGGAGGGCAGAGTTTCCCAAGGAAATCGACGAGCTACAATTGTCCACGTTGGACAAACAGCCAACAAAGAGCAATAGCCTTCTGGGAAAAGACGGCCCAGAGAGCAATCATTCTACAATCTCTGGACAATCCGAAGAGAAGCAAGAATGATCCTTCTAGATCTACCATTTTCTATAATACGCACACGCGAAGATCGTCTGAAGATATATAAAAAGAAGTAAGCGAGTGTAGAATATGTTTGCTTAAACAGTCTGTTTGAACACGTTTTTATCGGAACACCTGTTTTTTCTTCTTCTTCTCCTTCTTGCGATGCAGATACATAAAAGTTTATAGTTCCCTTTAAGAAACCACTATGATGTTACTCGAGGCCTTCGGTAATGTTCGATTTCCTTTTTCAGATTGTTCCAGACGCTTGGAATTCATTAAGGAAAACGAGCAAGATGGATTAAACGGAAATTCTAGGAAGAGTGAATGCATCAATCACGTGTATATTTCTGATACTAGCTTTTATCTACTTCTTTCCGATCTCTTTATGTTTGTACCAGTGTTTTTTTCTTTTTTAAGGAACGTGTTTATCCCTGTGACGATTATAACCTGAATTTATAAGATTTTAGATCAATAAATCGACGAAGTTTTAGTATGAAAGATGTTAGGTGTGTTGTTAGCTTGTTAAGTTTGATTTCATTTTATTTCTCTTTGTATCAAGTTCTGTCGGTTAGGTTTGTTTTCGTAAATAAATTACGATGGATGGAATATATTCTATTTTAGTAACGAGTCACGAAACTAGGATTCTTGAAGAAAATCCAATGAAATAGGCGTTAAGTTATTGAAAAAAAAAAAAAAGAAGCAGAACTATGGACGTTGATCTAACCATACTATAATAACTAAGAAAACATCGTTCACTTGTAATGGTATTTAAACTCGATACTTGGATTCTTCGCGAGTTGTACGAGAATGTTTTTACTACTTAAAACCAACCGAACTTTTCCACTCATTCACCGGTGACAGAAAAATTAATTTTTTACGGTATTGAAAAGCAAGAAAATTCCCCGACAAATCACCGAAGATAAATTGCCAAAGCAATTTATGATTCAGTATACGAAGCAAAGTGTTTGAAAGATGGAAAATGATCGAATACGAGCGGAAAATAGATTTTCCAGATTTTCCACGTTTTCACTGATGAAAATTTGCAGCGATCGCAGTTTTAGTATACAAAGTAACGTGTTGGAAAGGTCGAAAGTGATAAATTTCCAAAATTCTCCACATTTTCACCGATGAAAATTCCCAGAGATCTTAACTTTAGTATACGAAGCAAAATGATGGAAGGCGAGCGGCTGATAAATTTCCAAATTTTTCACATTTTCATCGATGAAAATTCCCAGAGGTCCCAATTTCAGTATACAAAGTAAAGTGTATGAAAGATCGAAAATGATGGAAAGCGAGTGGCTGATAAGTTTCCCAAATTTTCCACATTTTCTCTCATGAAAATTTGCAAAGATCCCAGCTTCAGTATACAAAGCAAAATGATGGAAATCAACCGGCAGACAAATTTCCCAAATTTTCCACATTTCCACCGATGAAAATTCCCCGAGATTTCATTTTCAGTATACGAAGCAAAATAATGGAAATCAACCGGCAGATAAATTTCCCAAATTTTCACCGATGCAAATTCGCAAAGATCCCATCTTCAGTATACAAAGTAAAGTGTTCGAAAGACCAAAAAGGATCGAAATCAACCGACAGACAAATTTTTCAAATTTCCCAAATTTTCCACCGATGAAAATTCACAGAGATCCCATCTTCAGTATTCAAAGTAAAGTGTTCGAAAGACCGAAAACGATGGAAATCAACCGACAGACAAATTTCCCAAATTTTCCACATTTCCACCGATGAAAATTCGCAAAGATCCCATCTTCAGTATTCAAAGTAAAGTGTTCGAAAGACCAAAAACGATGGAAATCAACGGACACAAATTTCCCAAATTCCCAAATTTTCCACCGATGAAAATTCGCAAAGATCCCATCTTCAGTATTCAAAGTAAAGTGTTCGAAAGACCAAAAACGATGGAAATCAACGGACACAAATTTCCCAAATTTTCCACATTTCCACCGATGAAAATTCGCAGAGATCCCATCTTCAGTATTCAAAGTAGTGTTCGAAAGACCGAAAACGATCGAAATCAAGCGACAGACAAATTTCCCAAATTTTCCACATTTCCACCGATGAAAATTCGAAAAGATCCCATCTTCAGTATTCAAAGTAAAGTGTTCGAAAGACCAAAAACGATGGAAATCAACCGACACAAATTTCCCAAATTTTCCACATTTCCACCGATGAAAATTCGAAAAGATCCCATCTTCAGTATTCAAAGTAGTGTTCGAAAGACCGAAAACGATCGAAATCAACCGTCAGATAAATTTTCCACATTTCCACCGATGAAAATTCCCCTCATCTTCGGTTATACACGTAGCAGAACGATGGAAGTCAACCGGCGCATAAATTTTCGAAAGCGTGTTGTTTTGAAAGATCGAAAATTGCACGGGTGGTTCGAAAGACCGAAAACGATCGAAATCAACCGTCAGATAAATTTTCCACATTTCCACCGATGAAAATTCCCTTCATCTTCGGTTATACACGTAGCAGAACGATGGAAGTCAACCGGCGCATAAATTTTCGAAAGCGTGTTGTTTTGAAAGATCGAAAATTGCACGGGTGAGGAAAACACGTTAAAAGCCGTGGCCGTTTCTCACCGATGACGGCCCTGCTCACGGCCTTGTTGGCTAATGATAGTCTTGCTAATGATGCGTTCGTACACGCACACGTGTAGTCGTGAACGCGTGACTATTTCACCTAGCCTGCTCTATGGCTAGACGGGCATCGTTCAACCCGGAGACATTTGACAATAAAGTAATACACAGTAGCCAAACGAGATCCACGCATACAACATTACGTATTTACGTTGGAAGGAATTCAAGATTGTGACTTCGTTTTACCAATATTGCAACGTGGTGACTTTTACAATTTCTAAAATAATCAACTTTCCCTTGCAATTTGTCAACGTGAATGAAATATACAGTTTCTTTCTACAAGTTGCAAGAAATATTTGAACAGTACCGAAAATAGTGAGTGACCTGATCCATCGATCGAAGCACAGTGGAAAGGAAAAATTACTGGACCGAAAAGTTTCTGCATCCAGAGTGAAATAAAGACATCTACGAAACAACTTTCTCCATATTTTCTTCGATACCGACGGAGGAGATCTAACGACTCGTAATATGCAAATTTTCTTCTAACTAATACGCGAACCTTTAAAACTTACCAAACTATCTCTCTGCTATCTTTGCGAGAAAAAGAAAGAAATAGACGAGAGGAGGCCTCTACACGATTATTCAATTATTTCTAAAGACAACTAGCACGACACAATCGTTCAAAGGATTATGCGCTCGATTGAATAATAATAAAGAGTATTTTTCTTCTTCTTCTTCTTTTCTATCATCGACGAGATTTCACGATTGACGCATAAATAAGGAATAATCATAGGTATGACGATAAGAGTATCTCGAATGAAATCGTCAGTCGCATAATTACCCGAGAGGCAGCGGAGATAAAGCTGCTTGTTAAGAAGGTAACGAGCAGGTAACGCTAGATCGGTGCACACGCTATTGTGAGGCGAAGCGTGATTTACGATCGTGTAAGAGCATTCGGATAACTCGTCGAGGAAACTCGACGCTATCTCCTTTGCAGTCGATGCCACTGTTCAAATATACAAGAATCTATCTTCGATTATGCGTGGTAGTGTGTGTGTGCCTGTGTGTGATCGCGACTGTTGCATCCGCCTAGGTTTAGCGCGACAACTATGCCGGAGCAGCGTGATCGCAAGTTCGTAGGTTTATGGGATTGTTGCAAATTTACGGTAGTGGATTTTTGTAGAAAATCGATAAACGCTGAAAAGATTTGTCATTTTCTATCCGTGGAAAATATTTTATTATGGTACTAAGTGTTTTTATTTTTAGAAAATGAGGGATTTTTTGAAAATTAAGTTTCTTTTTTTTGGAAAAATTCGATGCGAAGTAAAAGTCGAGAAGATTCATGTTGGATTATTTCTAACAACACCCTATGGAAATAATCAAGTGAGGACAAAAATGTCTCCGGGTTATTTTAAACAATGGCACTGGGACTTCCACCAGATGCATCTGGTGTTCGTCTTCGAGTCACTCACTGCACAATGCCATACCATAACGTAAACAGTTTCTAGGTATAAGGGGACCCCAACTTTCTTTTGGGTGCCTAGAAACAGTCCTTCAGAAGATTCAATAGAGTAAAGACGTTTCCTCTGAGACCGTAAATAAAATCGTATATTACAAAGATAAAAGACTATTTAATTCCATAACCCATTTCCAATAATTCATCATTTTCTATATGTGAGAAATATTTTCTTATGCCAGTAAGTGTTTTTATCTTTAGAAAATAAGGGGTTTTCTAAAAAGTGAGTTTCCTTTGTTTTAGAAAATCTAAAATTTTAGAAGAAATTCGATGCAAAGTAAAAGCCGGAGAGAATCATAATTTTTTATCTACGAACGCTATTCTACTATGGTACTGTATTTATTTCTGTTTTTAGAAAATTATTTCTCTAAAAAATTGCATGCAAAATAAGTGCCAAAAAGATTTCTAATTTTCTATCTGTGAAAAATATTTTATTATGGTACTGTATTTATTTCTGTTTTTAGAAAATTATTTCTCTAAAAAATTCTATGCAAAATAGATGAGAAAGGGTTTGATAATTTTCTGTCTGTGAAAAATATTTTTCTCACGGCGTTACATGTGTTTATTTTTCTATTTTTTTTTTAGCGATTCAAGGTAAAGGTGATACGTCGTCGAACAAAGTGACGCCAAGTGTTATTATATTTGCCCGAAGAGAAATCTGTTGGTGAAAAATTGAGCAGCGAATGCCAAAACAAACGGAACTTTCGTAAATTCCGACAGAAAATGACTAATAACTTGAACAAAGTATAACAATGAACGGTACTCGAGAAGATAACTGTTCAGCTGAACTTATCACATGGACACTGAAAGCTAACCAGAAAACTGGTGTCACCCCTCCACCTAAAACGCGATCAAACAGCCACATTTGCAGAAGGCACACCGGTCCA